AGACACGTCACAGAACTAGATGATAAAAGATTGTGTTAGTAGAGGGACACATCATGACAGCTGCACAACATGTGACCACATGTCAAGAACTGAATCCTAAATATCATCAGTTAATATGACAGTTTTTCTTTATTTCCTTCTACTATCTTGCTCATTTTCTTTATTCCACATACTATATTGTTTTACTTTATCATTTTCTCACCTCATCTTTATTTGTTTTTATTTCTCTTATATCCACAGTGTTCCTTCCTCTACAGAGCAATATATTTATTCTACCGTTTGGCTAACTGTATAAACTCCTACTGGCTCCTTTTGTAAATATATGGATATATTCTTATTTTATACTTTTATACTTTTGCACCACTGGAGTTGTCTTTTAATTTCATTGTACTTTGTGTATGATGACATAAATACTGTTAACTCCACACTCATGCCAATCAAACACATGAAATAGAAAAAAACACTGAATGGAAAAACGGAGATAACTTTTTTTGTGAATGTTTATTTAAACCCTCTCAGAGCAGCAGACTGCAGCTCTCATTATCTGTTTTCTCAATCAGCAGAAGCTCTGGCAACGGTCCCTGCAGAGAGGATGGAGTTTAATTTGTGGTTTTACAGAAATCAGCTAAAGCTCAGGATTTTAGATTAATCCTACAAGTTTTGTCTTAACGGCTATATGACAATCTGGCAGATTTTTTTTGAGGCATTTCGTTTATCTTTGTAAGTACTATTTAAAGAACATCATGTCGTCGGTTCAGGGTGAACGCTAGATCCTGGTGCTTCCTTATAGATGTAACTGCAGCTCGTGACACTGATGATCATTCGGCTATAATTGAACATCTTCATCACTGGATGGGCGTCAGACAAGCTGCAAACTGAATATTCACTGTCCTTCCTTCCACAGTAATCTCACTTTTGATTACAAAATCCAGCTTCATAAAATGCAAACAGTTACATCTACTGCTCTGTCTGCAAACACTTGTCCGTGTGTTTATTACTTTTGGACCTGCGGTACTGCAGCGTTCTGTATTTGTGTTTACATGAAGTGTTTCGAAATCACGGAAAGAAGATTTAACAGAAGAGAGCCTTCCATTTTTCATCTCTACATTTACTGACTGGTAAATGTTTTATTTGATTGTTACAAGGCTCGTTTGAGGCCCCAGTAGAGCCAGACATTGCAGGTGCTTGTCTCTGTTTAAGTACCTGCCATAAAAATTTAAATCTCTTATCTCGCTTTTCAGATTGTAATTTCTCAAACTTACTGACTTGTGTTATGTTTTTCCCTTTTCTATATTCGCTACCTTCAAAACCATTCAAATTATATGCATTTCTGTTAATTGTATGGTTAAAATTGTTTTCGTTAATAAACATGCTGCTAGAAATAAATATGTTTTGAGCATTTACAATTACCATAAACAGTGTTTTCCCTCAGTGACAGAATCTGCAAAGGACAGACATTCAGCGGTGCAGCTGATGTTTGAGCACAGTCAGGAACAAACAGTGACTAAGATGAAACAGTAGCAGCCTTATCTCATTTCACAAAGAGCTCCTTTCCCACCCAGGATGCAGGAGAAAATGCTCAATAATCAGAAACTGCACAGATGCAAAGAGCTTCACGTGTTTTTCCTGAGCCCCTCATCTTCTATTTAAAGTCTAGACCGAGCTTGTGTCTGGACGCTCGTGATTCTGCCTCTGAGTCAGTCAGTCGGCTCATGGCGAGGCTCGCAGCGTGACGCTGCCGGGAAGCTGAGCAGCAGTGTGTTTATGAAAACACTGACCTCTGACCTCGCTGTCGAATGGAGGCAGAGGAAGGTTCAGCAGAGCTCGCTGAAACCGGTGGAACACGACAGTAAGGATGGAAGGATAGTGATGAAATAGAATAAACACACCTCGGCAGAAAAAGTCTTTTTGCGTCATTCAGCATCACATTTGGCAAAAAATGTAAACGATAGACATCAGCATAGAGAAGACAAACTGGACTTAGCTTTTAAGTTGCAGAAGTATATACATAGTAGATAGCTAGGTGGATTGGGTTGTACAGGTGTCACAGGTCAAAGCTCTGTGGACGCTGTAAAGCTGAAGAGCATTCAGAGATGCTGAAGGACAGATTGTAAACCAATAAACAAGCACCTGTGTGGGTTACTGGGTTTCTTGTTGCCTGCTGTGCTTCAATGCATCCTAATTCAGCTGGTGTTGACATTGTTTACATCTTTCATGTTCTCTGTGCTCACATGTACTGCACTTTAACACAGCTGAGATCCCACTAAAGCTCTTCTCATTATGTGTCTCCCTTTTCTTTTTCCTGTCAGACGATGGAACGAGTATGACATAATGACAGGCCATTAAGACGACATGTGACCCAGCAGTCATTTCAAGGCCACTCACCAAGCTGCTGCTCTGCACTGCTGAAGTATTAAGTTTATAACGACGTTGTCTGGCAAACTCACCAAACATGAGTTTAAAACAAAAGCTGTGGTCTGAATTCAGGTACATTTATATGTAAAATGATCACTCATAGAAAACGTTAGAAGTGAGACAAAGCTTTGATCTCACATGTTCATTTACACCTGTGTGACTGCCATGTGGTACTGTTTGCTCCGTGTCGTCTTCCTGAAGGGGGCGTGGCAAGCAGCATCTCAGCTGCTTATAAAGAAGCAGCCTGTTGAGAACAAGACTAAAACCTGGAGTTACACTGTTATGGTAAAATGAACCAGTATTTTCAGCACAATAATTGAAAGTTGTATTCTGGGGACCTGCAAGACTTTTATTATTTTGGGACCTTTAAAAATTAAGTAAGGAGCTAAATCTTGTCATAAAGTTATGTAAAGCCAAGAGGAGCAGCAGCTTCAAGTGATAAAAACCCATTTCACATTGTCAGGTTGTTTTCACACTGTCATTTGATATTTTTTTTTATTGTAATAATGTCTATTATTAATGTTTTAAGTATTGAAAATTTCATAAACAAAAAAGTTAAAACCACATTAATTGTAAAAGATCAAACTGTTATAAATCTTAATGCTATAATTTTTGTAGAGATACAAGCTAAAGATCAGATACAGCTAATGCTCTAATTGTCTAATTACAACTAAATCTAATTACAGCTGTTATTGGCTTTCATATCATTGGTTGGAGGTGATAAGCCTGGATTGAGTTTATTTTCTTGTAAACAATAGCAGGTCATCACAGAATCACAGCTGCAATGCTTTTCTACATGGTTTTGTTGATTTCCTTTTCCACGTGCTACCTTTGTGATCAGCTGGATCACATCAGCTGGATCACATCAGCTGGATCACAGTCAGAGAAGAGGCTGCAGCTGCACATCTGCAGGACTAGGTGGCAGTGTTGGCTTTGTTGGTTTGTCACTGAGCCGTACGGAAACATCAGAGACTCAAAGAGGCCACTTTGGAACCAGAGAGCAGTTCTAATAAAAAATCAGGAGTGCACACAGCAATTCATTACGAATGTTTTATGAAAAACCCCACAAACAATCATGCACACTTTCCAAAAGACAAACATCCAAAGCAAGAGAAACACCATTAATATTTACATATGAACACCACTGGTATTTTCAGCATGCCTCGTTTACCACATGAGACCGAGCACAGAAACAAACCTGCAGCTTGGTTAACGCAATCCATAACAAAGCAGCAGCAGCAGCAGCCATGAAGAGACGACACTGTGCTCTACACACCATTCATAGTTTAGATATTAAACAAAGGCTGATGACTTTATTTACCGTGTCCGAGTACGACCATGCACAGCGCTCCACAAAACTTCTCTGTTAATTACATCACCATCCTCGTCTTTACAAATTGTGAAAATTAGGTCAACATCAAGGTGTCGCCAACCAGAAACTGACACAGTGACATCAGAGCTGACACATCAAACATCTGTGAACAACATAAAAAAAACAACTGTTACCCTTTAAATAAAACATAATTTCTCTCTGGTTAATCAGAGCAACACACCTCAGGAGGAGTTGGGAACAACACAACGAGGAACATTTGGTCCTGCAGTCTTTTAGTTTGCTCCATCGACACCGAAACATGCAAATAACTCACACAAACCATCGACATGGAAGAACCAAGTTATCTGATCAGGTTGTGCTGTCTACAGGCAGTCCAGTGACAACCACATCCACCGTCCGACAGCGTTAAGACCACTTGGAAGTCTTCGGAAGCATTCGTCGAAAACATTATTGCGGAGGGAGAGGTATGTGCTGTGAAGACGGTCGTTGCTGTGGACCTTTAATGTCAGTAGCTGATGAAAATAACCGGTTGTATCTAATAGGAAAACCTGACATGAGTGACAACGTGAGAATCATTTAACCTTCTTCCCTCATCATACATACTTAATTCATTTCAATTTTTCTTTCTGATTCTTGCTGAAACTAGAAAGTCTGTCCAGTTTGGAGCAGCAGAAGGTGCATTTAAGAAAATGAATGAACATTAATTAGAAAATTCTCACAGTTTCCAAGATTTGTTCTGGTTCTCTGTCGATCCACATTTAGAGTATTGATCTCTAAAATGTGGCCCCTTTGGGCATGTTGTTATGGACAATGAACTCATTTATGACACAAACTGAGTTGGATATGAACCCGTCATAGTCATGCAGAAAATCTTCGGAGCATGCGATGAAGCGTCTCTCGTCTTCAGGCTTCAGTTCCTGCAGCGTCAGTACAGTGGGGGAGGCTCAGTTCATTCCTGCACTGTGGATCCGGGCAGCTCGTTGGTCAACGTGTGCCAGCGCTCCACCTTCTTGCCCTTGTTCTTCAGACAGTCTATCCAGTGCTGCAGAGTTTCCCCCTGCGAGTGGCACCCGAAGGACACGCCCCCTTACAGAGCAAAGAATAGACTTGAGTAAGAATTGCATTCCACTTAGAGGGAATTAATGTAACAAACGCTGCAGGATGAACAAATGCATTTAGCATAATTTAGCATAATCAGCACGCTGTTGTCTGATTGAATTACTTTCGATGCCAAACAAACAGGTTGTGCGTTGCGAGGAGTGTAGGCGGAAAGGGCTGCAGCTCAGACCTACACATTTACAGTCTGCAGCAAGTCGTCTGCTTTGTGTCATTGTGTTGTTTGTACTGTTTCATGAGCAGTAAGTGCACGTTTTGCTGTCTTGTTCTCCCGTTAACTGTCTGTATAATTACTTACACATGTTTACACCTGCTGCAGAAGGGCTTAGACACAAAGAACTAACATAATGACATTTTCCCATTTTGAAAAGAGAGAAACAATTCATAACTTTAAATTAAATGGTTTGTTTTTAATGCACATAAAACAACTGAATGAATCCTGTAAGGTTAAATGAATTCTTATTAATTTCTGACCTCAACAAGTTTTCATTCCAACCTCTATTATTGTAATTGTGATGAAAGCTAGAAACACAGTTCAGTTGGTCCTAAATTGCGCTGAAAGGAATATTACAATATCTGCATTCATTCAAAGTTCCTCTGTCATTGACTAAACCCCTAAAAACTCATCTCTGTGTATCAAAGTTAGATATTTAGAGTAAGTTTTTCTATCAATATAATCCTTTCCTGCCTTAATAAAAGGTTTAGTAGTGCTACGATGTGGTTTCCTCTCCCTCCCAAATCACTCCTCCCACTTGGCTGCAGCTCGAGCACACCAGCTCACTTACGTCTCTGTTCAAACGCTTTGAAGCGACTCTGCACTACATAACGGTAAGTAGTGATGATGGAATAATTCACCAATGCATGTTTGCACCAGAAACCGATTCTGAAGAATAATAATGATGCACCCACCCTGCAAGTGTAAAACAAACTCATTTATTTCATGATATGTCTTCTAGTTGATATAAAACACCGACGGACATGTCAAAAAGGTGAGAAACTTGATTTTCACAGAACGAGTCCCTAAATGATGAGGGACAGGTAGCTTTGGTTACATGTTCCTCAGGTTAAACGTGAGCTCCTCCCTCTTTAATGTGAACTTTAAACTCCAGAAAGCTGAGAAAGGTCACACTGGATCATTCTCAGAGGAGTAAGTGGAAATTATTAATGAAAAATCAACATATGGTTTCATTCTATCACATTATTTCAGGTGTGATGAGGTTTTTATAGAAGTGAAGTACCTGAACATGTGAAATGTGGTTATTTAGACGCAGCCTCATTTATACTGTCCTTCTGCTGGAAATGCTCACCAGCACTCAGAACAGGCATTAATCCTCATCTAAGAGTAATCCCAAACAAATGCACTGTTTCCTACTGTTTGAGTAACATAAGCTGAAAACTAGAGTGTCCAGCTGTTTCAGATAATTACTGACCCCTTTTACAAAAGTAAAACTGGATGTTTGTGTCCTCATTATAACAAGTGGGTTTGGTGCCACCGACTAAAGTGCAACCTGTGAGTACAGAAAGGTTGACGGAAGCTCTGTTTGCCTTTTTTTATGGGATTTATAAAGTGGAAACATAGAACAATGCTGGACTTAACCTTTTGCTGACGGAAATCTGTATTTTAAAAAGTAATTTAAATAGAGGAACACAAGTAAAAGTAATTGCTCACTCAAACTAAAAGAGCAAGTGTAGCTTCAAACTAATTTTAAGCCAAAATGTCACCGACACCCTTCAAATTAGACACAGTGCTGCACTTAGATGATAATAGAGACCATCTTAAAATATCTTTGGCAACATCTGCCATGGCTACAACATTATCATACTTGCAATAAAACCAGTCAACGATGGAAAAACCAACAGCAGGACATTGGTAGCCGCCAGTGTTTGCTGTTTCAACTCACCTATGAAGTCGTTGGACTTTCCCAGGTCATAGTCCCACACCGTGACCTCCAGCGTCTTGGTGGCTAACTCTGAGAAGGAGATTTCATAGAAGAACTCCTGGTGGGAAAATAAAGAGGGAGAGGTCAGAAGATCACACCCAACACACATGTTGCTCTTCTTCTATAACCCACTAAAATACTCACTAATGAGGTGGCACATAATTATATGCAAACTGTAATTGGCTGCTGTACAAAAGGTTGCAAAACTTTACATGCGGGTAGAGTCCCTGTGGACCACCTAAGTCTAAATGAGCTGCCGCTTTACATTCATATATTACAAAAGTGCTTCCCACGCGCACAGTGATGCACATACACAAACGTGGAGGTCTACCTCATTAAACTCTGGGTTGAGAGTCTTCTTTATGACCGCTGTTTTGTGCTTGGATTTCTTCTGGACGTCTGGCTTCAGGTACCTGAGACAGAGAAATGTGACACTATCATATATGAGTCTGGTCATTATCGTTGACACGTCAGAGCGCCGCTGAAGGGACGAGTAAAGCCCTCGGAGTAAATGCAAATACCAGGGACGGCTGTAAAGGTCGAACAGGTTGATACACAGAGGAAGTCATTATGTTCTATCAAGCACTGTTGTTGATGATAGATTTACTGGTCCTTCCTGTCATGTTGCTTCATTCTTGATGACATCTTCGTTTAGAAAAAGCATTTACCTGAAGGAATAGTTGGACATTAGGGGACATACACTTTTACACCTTATTTCAGCAGGTTATATATGAAGAATGTAGGCGGTTTGGGTTTATTTCTGCCTGCTGTATATCCCACCATTAAAGGTAAAACTAATGCTGCACTCTCCACCTTTGTTGTAGAGATTCAGGGAAACAAGAAGTCACACAAAACAGCATGCAAACGTCACATATCGGGGTGACTTGCTGTGTTGTCCACACATTGTTTTGTGTGATTCCTGCTTTACCTGATTGCCACGTTAGGATGACCCATAGAGCCACACCAGACACATTAATGGGAGATCAAGCTATAGGCAGCAGCTCTTATCTTATCTTAGAAACAGAAGGGAAAAAAGCTACAATGGCTCTGTCCAAGGCAAGTGAGAACCTCTGGGTCTAAAAAACATGAAGCCAATGTTTCTCGAATGTCCACTTGAGGCTGCCTCCAAAAGAGAGTCGATCCCTATCGACCCCAAGAGTAAAATGCCCAACTTTAACGCAGGAATAAACATGTTTACAACCTGGTCCAAAAAATGGTTTTAGTCTCTATATCTAAGTTCCCTGTTAAGGACCATAGCATAGGTGGTGAATTTTGATATAGCTTACCCATTTACATTGTGCTGAAGCTTAAAGTTATACATAGTTAAGGGCGTGACCACGTTGAGTGACATGTGGGTGTCGTCACAGGACAGTCCATACCTCCCCTCAGCTTCAATCATGCTCCACCTCTTTGTTATTTTTTTTTTTAGCAAACTAGGATTTAAGAAGAGTCAAGCACTGCCAAGATGGTGACAGCTGGAGCCACCACACTGAGCTCCAAAATTGCTGTTACACAAATTAGTGGGTGATGGTGACAGAGGGTACATCCATCTCTGTCTCTGGTCGGGTCCAGCTACTTGGGTTTTAAACAAACCCAATGCAATATGATTATTAGGGAAGAGTTTATAGATTAATTTTGTCAGCTTGGCCCAAGCAGCAACTTCCGGTGCTAAAAATGAAGTCAACTCAGAAGTGACAAAAAATGCAGTTCCTCAGATGTCCACTTGAGGCTGCCTTTAAAAGCAAGTCAATCCACATCGACTCCCATGTTAAAATCAACTTTAAAGCAGAAATAAACATGTTCAAAACCTGGTACAAAAAACAGATTTGGACTCTATATCTAACCTTCACATTCATGACAACTGTACATGTGTTAACTTTTTATATAATGCTCCCGTTAAAATTGTTTTCATGCTTAAAGAGATATAATAATTAAGATTGGAGTGGGTGCAGTCACAAGATGGTCGGTGGCCTGATTCGGCTTCACTCACATTCATTTATAAAATAGCCAGAGGTTAAGAGGAGTTAAGAACTGGCAAGATGGTGAGATATGGAGCCACCACACTGAGCTTCAAAACTGGTGTTCAGGAAACCTATCTGCGACGTCCATCTTCATACACAGTCTACGGACAGGACCAGTCTTTGGGCTGAACTACGCTAAGCGGCTGCTGGCTGTGGCTTCATATTACAACTAACTCTTATCTAGAAGGCAAATAATCACATTCCTCTAAATATTCCTACCTCTATCTTAAATATTAATGAGTAATTTAGATGAGAACATTAATACCACCATCATGTCTCCATGCTAAATGTCAAGTGTCTGCCAGCAGATGGTTAGCTTGGCTTTTCTCCTGGAAACAGGGGAAACAGTTAACCTTCCTCCGTCCAAAAGATGCGACAGACCTGCCAACTTACATCTCTACAGCTCACTAATTAACATATTATTTTTACTGGAAAAATGACACATTGTGTTTCACAACAGACAAGAACTAAATAATTTCTTGGCAATTTCAAGTCTCCAGTTTGCACATTCCAGAAACTACTTGTTGGTGTAAGCTTTGGTTTTTTTGTTTGTTTTTTTTGCATGGATTAAACAAACAGAATAAAACAACTTTTGAAGTGCTAGTTGGCAGATTTTGTTACCTTCAAACAGAACCAGGCTAGCTGTTTCCTCATGTTCAGTCTTCATTAAAAGCTGAGCTAGCCAGCTGCACTGCTGGTTATGGCTTCATATTAAAAGGATAGCGCTATTAATCTTCTCTAATCTAATTCTCCATTCATTCCCTGAAGGTTTGATGTATTATTTGGGAAACTAACCCTGTGTGAGGACCGATCAGTAATTCCTTCACCGACACAGCACAGATTGAAAAAGCTCAGCTTCCCTTCACGGGCTGTCATTAAATTCTCAGGATATTTTTAAAGCCAGCTGGAAAGAGCGTGGCAAAATCTCTGTTCACATTTGCTTTCCACCCACCACCCACAGCTCGGAGAGCGTATGTTCCCACGCGCTCTCAGACACAACAAAGCATCTGGGAAGAAGCTCCCGCCAAAGGGCAAAGATGTGAGCACGCATCCAAACAAGGTGCGCAATGTATCACTGTGGATGTGTGAGGAATGTATGCGTAGGTTCGGTGGATGTAAAGAGTTCAAGGTTTACCGGGGAAGTAGAGGGGAGGTTGATGTGTGCTGAAATGAGGCGAGCACGGTGGCATGATTAGAAGTTGTTTAGTGTTTTCCAGAAACAACCTCGAAGCCAGAAGCAAAACTCAGGAGACCACTGATTGAAGACGAGGTGAGGGCGGGGGGGTTTAAAGCTCATTTGTCCACTTTCCGTCAGGTTGCATCATTCAACGCAGGGACCTTCCTTCCTGCCCTCCCTGCTACAGACACACACAGTGACACAAACAGCATTGCTTTTCTATCAGCAGTGAGTAATGAAACTCTACAGGACCTCTGTGACACTCACAACAGACCCCCAATCTGTTTTCCCTAACCCTCCATTTCCTCCATGACACCAAACACCCCTAACATTAGATCATGTCACTGCCTTTCAATCAGTTCGGTAGCCTGTCAATACGCACACACACTGTTATAATTATCTTGATGAATGAGTGGCATATTTCCAAATGGCTTCCATTTGTGTGAAAAGCTGCCCTCATCTGTCACCATTACCTTACGTGAGGTTAACTCGTGCCATCAATCACCCGTGAGTGGCGACAAAAGTTGATTCATGGGGTTAATATCAGTCAAGGGCCAGTTTAGACCAAACGCATTAAGGTGTTAAAGAGCGGGGGACCGAGACTGGAGAGGTCATCCTGAAATGAGTTTTTGTGAATCAGTCCATCCGTCTCAGCTGTGTGTTGTGTCGTCATTTAAAATGTGTCCACGTATGCACCTGATTTTTATTCAGGTGCATACGTACATATGTACCAGTGAGCAAAAACATTATGACCCCTCACAGATTAAATAAATGACAGTGATTAGAGTCAAGGTCTAGGATTTTTTTGAGGTAAACAGCAGTTCTTGTAGTCAATATGCTGTAAAGACCTGAGACAATCTGACGTGGGCGATCTTGTTAAAGCCAGACGACTGGGTTGGAGCATTCGTAAAAAAAAAAAAGGCTTTTGGGGAGCTCCCAGAGGAAGGACAAACCAGAACCCTTAATCTTAAAGGATATGCTGCAACAAGTCAACATGCTCCAACGAGAGACTTAAAGTTTTTGCTGCTAATGTCTTGTGTCCATAGGGAACCTTCAGAGGCCTGTTAATGCTGTTTTCCACCACGGGACCATGTGGGTCCTTTTAGGCCAGCCAGACCCTTTGTGAATGTTCCAACTGCAGGAACAGCCCTAGTAGGACTTCTTTCAGGGCCGTTTTGGGGATAGAAAGTAAACTGCTGGGAGGATCTGTATACTCGGTGAGGACGACAAATGTCATTTTTTGTCCTTCTACTCTCTGTCTTCACCATAACCATTGTAACAGGGTAACATCAATTGTTCTATTTCCTACATAGAACTGGCGTTACGTCCAGCAACTGTTCTGGCATATTCAGGATCGACATTGCAGTCAAAGCTGTTGGATCCTACATTGCAATAGAAATAGAAAGCCTTAAAGGGTAGACTGGAGACTGTTCCTGTATACATTCATGCCATCCAGCACCTGCACTTGAGTTTCTGCAGTGAAAAGCCAGTGACACACTCCATACCTGGGTGGGTCAAAGCTGTTTTGGTGGCCCACATAGGACCAGCATAGATAGGGGTGGTCACAATGTTGTGGCTCATCAGTGTAAACTAATATCATACAGTTCATGATTTGATGTCGTCCTTACGTTTTAACGTAGGGGTCGGAGAAGCCGTTGACGTCCATGGCTGCCAGGTGGGCGCAACGTTTGACGCCCACACAGAGCCCACCACGAGCTCTATCCTTGGCCTCGCCCTTCACGTCGCCATCGCCGACAGGGGGGAGGTACTGAAGGCAGAGCAGCAGACGGCCTCTCTCCTCTAGACTTCTTTGCTGCTCAGTCTCCCACTGAAAGAGAGAAGGTATGAAACTAATTTAAAAAACTAAACTAATAATAAAATCAGGAACAAGGTGTGTTTTCAGCCTTTGTAGTTGACTTAAAACAGTGGAAGTGTGGCACTTCCTCATAAAAATTGATGTTCAATCCAAACAAGTTCAAACAATCCTGATTAGGCCCATTGGCACCATCTCTCTACCATCTGTGACGACATTCCCATGCGGACACACAGGTCATTGCTGGTTTGCCAGATCTGAAGAAGGGAGCAACCACAGCGACAGAGACAGCAACTAGTAGTATGTCTGATAAACCCAGGAAGCATCCAAGACAAGCTTCTGATGTTTAAGATGAAAAAGAAACCCGGCAGAATGATGACAGCCAAGGCAAAAGAGGAGGAGAAAAAAGTTTGGTTTAAGATTCAAAGTGATAAGGAGTCTCATATAATGAGAACAATACATCAGTGTAGTGCCGTGACGCGCTGGTTGAAAAGCCAACAAGATTCAATTTGTTCTTAAACGGCTGTCATCCATATAGTGATGCAGCCTGTGATTTTAAACGACTGCGACTAATTTAAGAAGCTCTTTGTTCAGTCCCTTTCAGCGCTACAGAGCCTTTTAGTGACTTCCAGCTTATTGATTTGTTTTAGCGGCCTGCAGCTTTGTTTACTTTCTCTTTTGTTTCCGTCAGCGTTGTTTCCAGCCTCACCAAGCAGGTGTTTACAATGAGAAAGCACTAATAAACCCACTGCACGCCCCCTGCAGCACCAAATGACACACAGACAAAGTCGCAGCAGCTAACTGGTGAACATAGAGGAGCATGTAGAAGCTGAAGAGACAGATTTCTTTGGTGGAGAACTAATCCAACGCAGTCTCAAAAGAATAGCCACACAGGTCCACAGTGCTAAAGGTATTATTTTCCTGGATCAGTCCAACTTAGGAGTTTCACTCTTCGACTGTATATGAAAGATAGAAGTAACCACTGGGTCTAAAAAGTGACACCGGAGGGTTTTAAATCTGCGTTCTGTCTAAAAGCCAGCAGGAGGCGACTCCTCTGCTTTCAAGAAGAAGTAAGATTGTATAGAAGTCTATAAAAAAACAAGCCTCGTTCTGACTTCATTTGCTTCCTCAATAAATGTTTTTTTCATCAAGTTTATGGTCTCAAGTAGTTTAAGGCTGTTTTAATTCAACAAATGTTCATTTTGTAATTTACGGTCCCATTTAGAGTAAAGTAGGAGTTAAAGTAGGACACTCTGCTTTATTTGTTTTACTCTAAACTAGACCATAATTTACAAAATGAACCTCGTGCTGAATTGAAGGAGGCTTGAAACTAGCGATTAAGTCCATTAGTAAAATGTTTACTGAGGTAACAAATCAAGTGAGAAGTCGGGTCATTTTCTCATTGACTTGTGTACAAGCTGACCGTTTGTTTTGCAACAACTGGAGTCTCCTTCTGCTGGACATGAGGAAGAATGCAGGTTTAAAGAACTTCTACATTGACTTCAGATTCAGAAGGCTATGTCTATCTTTTATATACAGTCTGTGGTGACAAGTCCCACCACAAAAATAACCCCTAAAAAACACAAGCACACAGACTAAAATACATTTTCTGCTGTAGGCGAACAAAGCTGTTACACAAGAGTTAGTACTGGACTGGTGGAGTTTACCAAGTTCATTATTTTTTTGTTAACTTGAGTAACAACAAACTAACTGTTTCCAGTTTAAATGCTAAACTAAGCTGACTGTGTGAATCTAATGGAAGCTTATGTGTTTGTTTAATGTGCGTTGCAGCTTCAAATAATGATCCGATTTCAGAGCCTCAGTTGTTTTTGAATTTAGAGCCGGTTCTCTCCCTCACATATTGGATAAATTAACCAAGAGGCCAAACCGAAGGACCGATGTGCTCCTTTCGGTTCATTAAGATAACTGGAGTGAAACAGCTGCCGGTGTTTCTCCCCACATTCAAGGTTGTTTAATGCGTCTGCTGATGGTTTCGCCTGTTCTCTCGCCGCGCAACCCCACCCACAAATTTATCTTTTATCCATTTCTCCGTCAGTGTGTGCGGTGCTGGCTCCACATTGACGCCTGTTTGTTTCCACCCTCCTAATGAGTTGCTCTCTATCGATCTGTGAAGGTCTGAGCTGTTTTATTACTTGGTACCTGGTGCACTAATTGCGAGTTTTAAAGTCTCTATACTCATCAATGACAGATGGCGAACTGGCAGTTGGCAGTAATGATGATTCCCACAGAAAAACACGGACAAGGCGAGCGGGGAAAGATTGGAAAAAGAGAGAATTAGGAAAAAGACGGGGACAAGCTGTTCAGACAATTAAAAATAGGGAGCGTGGATGAGTGCGGGGCATGTGGCATATTGATCGCTTTGGCTGTGCCCACCTCTAGCCTGAAGATAAGACTTAATGACATGATGGGGAGATATAAAGGAGAGGAGAGACATTTAGTGAAACATAGAGCTGCAATAGAACAGAGGGTTTTTTTGGTAAGTCGTAAAAAAACAAGCACCTACAGTGATGCAAATCCCGAAATAGCACACGTACATCTTCCCTATAAATAACATACATGTACTGCTGCTGTTGGCCATGACGGTGAGTCACAGGCCTGTGAGAACATCGTCTTCTCCTTCTTCACTCTTCGCTGCAGCCTCCTTGCTTTCTTTCATCTGTCACTTTGAATCTAATCTGTTGTTCCGCCTGTTGTCAAACGCTTTGGTAACACTTTGATGCTGTTCACAGAAAACACTAAAGCCAGGAGGACGACGAGAGTTAATATGACTTAAAGGCTGATGCTTCAGTTTGTCCAAGACAGGTCTTTGCCAGTGGACAGACTGTACTCCTGTTTGTTACTTGTTCACAGTGGTAGTTGGGTTTGTCTCTGAGCTGTGACAGATGAGCTCAAATGTTGGATGAAAGTCACTGAGCTCTTTAGGTGGGAGAGAGAAAGACGTACATCACAGCGAAGGACATTGTGTACATTTTATAGCAGGAAATGACATGCTTTGGAAAAAAGAAAAAAAAAATCACCATATTTTCTCAATACACTAAATGAAACCCTTATTTGGTTGTGAATGATCCGTAGCGTGGCCAAAGCTGGCTATGCTGCTCTAACTATAACAAAGAGGCAGCTTCTGGTTGTGGTTTGAGTCATTTGTTGGATCTATGGGAGCCCCAGTGTGGCTGATATTGTTCCACCTTGTCGGTCTGTCTTAACTTATGAAGCAACATTTTACCTTAACTAGGTTCTACAAAGTCGGCCTGGGTGATATAACGAAGCAGGTAAACATGATAAAAGGCTTCATCGACATCAATAAGTAGAATATCCAGAAAAGCCACATCAGTTGTTTTACAGTGCTTAATACACCAAATGAGCTATCTAATTAGCTATATTACTGTTTCCACAGACACACTTGTACATTTCTACCAGATTTCAATAGTTGCACATTTCTTACTCTACTGTTGAAAATGTTGTTTGATTTTGTGAACGCACAGACAAGATTGCTGCTTGCTTTAATTGCACACTCTGCAATAGCCGTAGCCTATTAATCATGGTACACAGATATACATATAATATTAATAACAATTAAAAGCATAAATAAATGAGGATAAAGTAATCCTCTCACCTTCATACACATCAAGTAATGAAAACAAGTTTAACCAGGAGGCGTACTGAGGGCGACCAGAGCAAAGCCGCTGCAACAAACTGATATTAAAGTCTCTGGCTCAGACCAGGTTCCCCCAGACTGGGACACTACAGTCCACATACACCCCATCAGCACTCGAAGCATGTGTCACTTAGGTGGAGCTGGTTGGGGTTGCAGGTTTGTGGGTGTTTTATGACCACGAAGCCTGTTTGGCAAACCACAAGCTCCACCACAGAAGGTCTGTGGGCGCAGACGGAGGCAACAGAAGGCCCCTGAGGATGCGGACTAGCAAGAGACCTGCACATAAGCCAACAGGGAGAGTAATGGAGGGTGAAAGGGCTTCATTTTCAGGGGATGTGACTCGATATTTTTGAGCCATAGAGCGAGCATGCTTGGAGTTTTTCCCGCAACTGACCTTTTTTGTATCATTATGTGGTTTCACTTTCACGGTAGCTTGCATTGAATGCATTAAACGATTTATCGATCTAATTGCTAGCGATGAAGTGTCTGTCGGCGGTACATATCGCTATCTTTTTATCACCCAGACCTTCTACAAAATGAACTGAGATAAAATTCAGAAGAATCACAGTGGGTTTTTCATTCACCCGGTCACACAAACACGTCTCCAAACAAGGCGCTCGGCTGCCACGAGGAGCAACTGGAGGTTCAGTGTCTTGCCCAAGGACATGATTGCGATTAACTCGACCACCTGAGCCACGGCAAGAGTCAACACAGGAAATGTCATGCTTGAAAACTGATCCTACTGTTTGTCTGTCTGTGGACACATTTTTTCCAACATGATAGCATCGCAACTGTACAAAAGGCAGTCACGAAACTTTTACAGGTTAAGTAAAACTGAAATAAAGGTTAAAGTCGATTATAGCTGTGATCCGACTCATGAGTACTGGCAGCATTTGTAACTCTCCATATGAGGTATCGTCATCTAGTGAATGAACATGTTGGATTTACCAGGCATGATAGCTGATATTGTTTTCACCTTCCAAGTCTCTGTGTGTGTGTCATCGTTGCTAAATCTGGTCCTGGAGACACCTACTGTAGCAGAAACCATAACAAAGGCGGTTTTTGAGTGTTTGGCAGGTGTTTGCGTGTCTGTCTGTCTGTGGACAGATTTTGTCAACACAACGGCATCACAACCGTGCAAGGTGTGCAGCTGACATCACAATGAGTGTCGACATGGCTGCGGTCCGAAAACTCATTGGCGTCGAGGCTGGTGTGATCTCATTGCAAGATGGTCTCCAGTTTTTCTTTCAAACTGTGCCAGTTGAGCACATATTTGGGCGTTATGTGTGTGCGAGTGGATAATCGAATTGTGTGGGAAGAGGAAAAGAGTGTAGTGGATGTAGTGCAGCCAATTATAGTCAGAAATGAATGGAATAAAGCAAAAATATAACTCTGAGCCTCAGATCTCGGTCTTGTTTGTTTTTTCAATCTCCAGTAACAGTTGTTTCTGTTGGATCATGGTGGATATCGCCTGGAATTGTGTTTCAGACTCCTCGACCTCTTCTACTGAGTCGCTATATTTTACAATGTTTTTTTGTCCCCTTTGGCAATACGAGCTGCTGCACGGTGAAAATTACACAAGTTCACTTTGACATGGTTGTGCTGCTGCTGCAGCAATATCTGCACTGTGCTTCTCACTGCTGCTTTACAAACCCCAGAACAACATGTGTGTATCAGTTTTCAGCACTTTCCAACAAATCCTGTATATGTGACATTTCTGCTCACTATGTCTGAAACTCTTGAAAGAACCAATGTACATTCTTACGGATGTTGAATTTGTGACTATTAAACAGCCTACCAGTACAGTTTGATTTGCTCTGCTGTGACCTGTGGTTCAGTCAAATTAAATAAATAAACACAATAATCATCATGTCATTAGCCATCGTTTGATAAATGTTGCTTTATAAAATATGTTATTTGCTTAGTTTACTAATTTTCTGACTGATCTGTATTCATAGTTTTTGGCATTTTCCATTCACCAAAGCTTACATAGTGATCTTGTGAGGGGAAATCGTCTTTTCACATGTGCCACACTAAGATGCCACAGACAGGGTTAAGGGTCTTGCTAAAGGACCCAACAGCTGCAGCTTGAACCCCCAACCAACAAACTGAGTCCCATCTGCCCCTAAATAATAACTAATCGGTGCAATTCCTGGAGAAATTGCAAGTGAGATTGCTGAAAGCAGCTGTGGCTTGCACAGTTCAGCACATTTGCTGGAGGAAGCTGGCATCAAACGCACAACTTTAAGACTCAAGGACAAGCCGTTCTACCAACTGAGCCGCATCGGCCACAACACGTGATACTCAAATAAAATTATTCATCTTAGCCACAGACGGCGCTGCACTTAATTAATAAATCAAGACCGGTTTAATGGATTACATGATTCAAGTCGGTCTGCTAATTGATTTTCATGTCTTACAGAAATGCATGGAATACATTTAAATACATTTGTATGTAAATGATGTGCACGCTGATAAGCTGTCAAACAGTCACAGTCTGAGCAGAAATTCAACATAAAATTCAACAAAGACTCAGATGTGAGTTTGCAACTATTGATTATGCTCATCTTAAATTAATTAAATCTTTTTTTTTTTGATGACTTAATAAACTGTCTGCTTTAAAAAAATTATGAAAAAATATCATCATCACCCATCCAGAGTCTGAGAATGTTTTACCAAATATCAAACCTGAATCAATCAGTCAAAGAGCTGGAACCTGATAGTGTTGCCTAATGTTCCTTTGAAATGGGTTAACTGATCAGTCAATGACCAAAACTGGCTCAGTTAACGAACAAATTGATTATTTGCTTAATCACTAGCCAGACAAAAGCTAAATTCTGCAGTAATGCTGTAAACGAGGCCTGATGAAGAGTGATGACCTTCGTTTCCAGGAGAATATATTGAAAAACGAAGAGCAACCTGGGATTCATTCATTCTCATACCGTTATGATAATGAGTGTGTGAAGGGCCGCAGCATGCCCCGGGGACGGATGTAAGATGAGAAAAGGTCATTTTGGAGCTATTAGTCCCACATTGGACGATATGAGCAAACCTCCCTAAAATGTGGACGCTGTCCTTAAAGACGGACTAAAAGATAAAGGAACAGACAGAAGGAGCGAAGGTGTTCACCTCTCTCAGGTAGCAGGAGATTCCTCTGAGGGCCGTGCTCATCGCAGTCGGCGAAGGCAGCTGCAGACAAAAAGAAGAGAGACGACATAAAGTGTGAATGACGGACAGGCAAACAACGCACACAGACTAGATGAGCAAAGAATGAGGAGGAAGGAACGGATACATCGAGTCGAGGCTGAAGCCACTTTGAAAATTACAGGCCTGATGCCGCGGGATGACAGAAGGGCTTTAGCGTTTGATCGCAGAGTGGCCACCGGCCTCAGAGGGCCAATCTAATACCAGCAGCCCTTTCCAACTCATAAAGAACAAAAACCCGGCGCCCTCCCACCCCCTTTTCACACACATGGCCCCTGCTCCCCACCCACCACAGCTTTTATTTTCTAATCCATTTGTTTCTCATCTCTCTCACTTGCTGCCGCTGTCTATTGACACTTCGCCGGCCCCCCTCTTCTCTTCGCTCTTTCTCCTCACCTTTTATTCTTCCAATCTCCGAGCACCGTTTTGCCACGTGTGAGACGGCTGACATTTAGCCTGCACAGAAAGCTATTTGTGGGCTGTTAAAGTAGAAACGATTCCCTGTTCTCGCTTTAGCCAGCATTTGTAATTCAAAGGAGGTACAAATCGTATGTGAACGACACCAGCTCATCGTACTGTAGAACACACCTTACAGCCAAAAGTATGTGGACAGCCCTAGTTGGGCACATTGACGCTGTTTCCAGCTTTGTGGCAGCAGTTAAGGGAGGTCCTCCTCTGATTGCTCAAAATGAAGTCTTCCCAGTTAGCTGTGCATTAGATTGGTTGGCCTGCACTTGGACCTCATCCGTCACCTTTTGAATGAAAATCAACAGTCAGCGAGAGCCAGGTTTTCTCACTCAATACCCGAGTTCAGCCCAGTCACACTCAATCAAGTATCCGGTGTAAAGAGCGGAGATCTTCACAGCAGCACAATAAAGGTCTTTTCACACCTGAAGGTTCAGACCAAGGTTCACGTTTTTCTTACACTTTATACATCAGATCAGGTTCGTTATGGTTTCACATCCCTGGTGTCATAACGTTTGTGGCCAGAATCTTCTTCTACTTGACTTTAGTTGGTTAGTAGATGAGTGTCCAGACGGTTGTTCAGGTTGTCGTCAGCACACTGCTTCCTCATCGTAGAGCTTTGTACAATGCTGCTGCTGTTTGTTTATCTTCAGGTGGTAAAACTCACCTGTCCTCTCATTTCCACTGTCTCTCATCAACCCCCAAAAATACCTGTGATTTTTTATTTATTGTTTTAGTTAAAAACTTGTTGTCCTCGTCTCCCCATGTGCTCTCTTGGCTCATTTTTCACCTTCTCCCTCATTCTGACGACAGCCTGCTGTAACTGACTGTAATTAGTGCTGAAGTCTGAATCATCCAAAAAAATGTTTCCAGGCTAAAAGCAAAACCCCCAGAGAGGTTTCACACTTGGAATTTTGGTTAGAATGAAAATAAAAAGTCTGAAAATTCAGACTAAATGAGTATAAAAAGTTTTGCATTATAAATGTTTGGGTCTGTCCACATACTTATTGTGTCTTAGTAACGGCTGCATTTGTACATATTATACATATATTAAGTCATTATTTTTCTAAATTTGTACCTCTTTCTAACGTGGTCATTAGAAACAGCTTACAGATTACAACTTGTTTTGTAAAAATGTCTCTAATATCAATTAATTGTTGAGTGAGTTTTCACAACTTGGCAAAACTGATGTTGTTCCTGTTCATGTGATTTATGAAGCATCACTAAATAACGTCAGTAGTAATGAAATGAAAACCTGTTTTGGAGGATGTTACATCAGAAAATGGTGCTTGCTCCTCCCTAGAAGAAACCGTTGACATTTTGTGGAATACTCTTGTTCTGTTTTCTGCCACAGAACTAGATGAGAAGATCGATTATTTTTCTCACATTTGTCATTAATTAGAAGGCTGCAGTAGGTAACAAGGCTTCACACAAAGACTGAAATACAGGTAGAAACAGCAAACCAAGCTCTCTTTAGTGACAATAATATCTACCTGTACCTCACAAGCTCATTAACATTTCACACTGTTTGATAAACTTGTACAAAAAATAACTGCAAAGAGGATGATTCATCCATTTCCCCGGGGTTAGGTTACCAAACTGTTTCTTAACAGGGAGCTCTAACTTCTTCTTCTAAACTTCAGCAGCTGCTTGGAGAGGAATATTTCAGCAGGTTTTACAGTTTAGTTTAAAGGACAGAGAAATAGCATGTTGACTAGTGCGCTTTAGATGGACTGTAGTTGTCAGATTTAGCAACTAGTTATGCTAAGCTAAGCAACTGTTGCTTCATACTTAGCATTCAAATATCCATCCATTCATTATCTATACACCGCTTAATCCTCACTGGGGTCATGGGGGGCTGGAGTCTATCCCAGCTGACTCAGGGTGAAGGCAGGGGACACCCTGGACAGGTCACCAGTCTATCACAGGGCTACACTTAGAGACAGACAACCAAGCACCTACGGACAACTTAGAATCACCAATTAACCTCAACATGGTTTTGGACTGTTTGGGAGGAAGCCGGAGAACCCGGAGAGAACCCACACTGCACGGGGAGAACATGCAAACTCCATGCAGAAAGATCCCAGGTGTCCTCACCAGAACACGAACTTGGGATCTTCTGGCTACGAGGCGACGGAGCTAATTTGACATGAATTATCACTTTCTTGCTGCGAGGCAACAGTGCTAACCACTGAGCCACCTTGTAGCCTGCGTCCAAATATGAAAATGATATTAATCTTCTCATCCAACCCTGGTAGAGAACAGACAAGAATATTTACCAGAATTTTACATCTATTTCTTTCCTGTTTTTCTTGTAATACAGTTGATTTAAAAGATACTGTTAAATGTAATTGTGTCTTTTATGGTGCTGCCATCTGCATCTTTATAGTTCTTTTTTGCTGCAGCAATAAAGCTTTTTAAAGGATCCTTGCTTTTACGATTTCTGATTGTGTGTTATATGGCATTAAAAATTATCTGTTTATCCTCAAATATCAATACCAGCATTTGTCGGTCTTTAACCTGGAATAAACGGGGATCTTGGGCGGGTCGAGGCATTCGAGAACATTGTGTCCACTGGCTTTTGGAAGCATTCGTGCAGCTTTGTTGTTAATGATGCTGCAGAGATTGCACAGACACATTGTTGATTTATATATAATGAGACCCAGGTGTGCGGTCAACAACACAGAGGATTGCTGTGTCCACTAAATATTGAGTTTTTAACGCCTCCCTGCTGCCATGTAAACATTTCACTTCCTTCCCTCTTCTTGCCTCCATCCTTGTTTTTTTTTTTCCTCACATCTTTACTTTAAAAGATGCGGCGGTGAGTCACACAGAAAACCTTAATATATTGAATATTACAGTGCCCTCCAGTCATTTATCTCCCTCATCCACATTCATTTTCCTCTCTTTTAGACTTTCCTATCCTTCTTTATATTCCTTCTGCCCCCCCTCCCCTCCCAGGCTCTTCTTCTCACAGGAGGTGGATGCTCCAGACAGATGTTAAAGTGTTTGGTCTGGTCAGGCTTCACACGGCGCAGGGCCACCCGCGACTCCCCGATGAACTCATTATGTGTCAGCTTGTCTTCGTCACACACGGACACCCTGCGAGTGAGAGACGGAGAGGAGGCAGGAGGAGGAGGAGGAGGAGGCACAAATGAGAAATAGCGATGGGCAGAGTGCAGAATAAAAACAAGAGATTTACAAAGTGGAGACAGAAAATTCAGCGTGGACAGACGAGGAGATGTGTGTGTGTGTGTGAGGGGGAGAAACATCCCATAATATGACTCATTACGGTGTGGCAGCAACAATATAACAAGGGGAGGAAATGAGTGGCACAAACCTGACCTGAATTCAAGAGCAGAAAATCAACTAGAGTACATACAAATAAAGCTCCCGCACGTTCAACAATTAGCATTTTTCCCCTCTAATGGGAATACAGATGAAAGATGGTGATCAGCGTGTGAAAGTGCATCACGTGAGGGTGAGCCGATCCATATTTATGCGCCTGGCAAACTTTAACACCTGTCATAACGTCGCCTGGAATGCACTGGCGGGTGGGAGAGCAGCAGCAGAGAGGAGCGAAAGGGAAGCTGCAAAATCAGAAGCTACCGAGTAAAGGATGGAGTGATGTGGGTGAGAGGGAGAGATTAAAACAGAATAATTTATTTAAATCTGTGTGCGTGGATCAGTACGCTACCTGAAAACCAGAGTGTTTGGCTTTTTTTTTTCTTTTCTCCCCTGCACTTTATGTAAATGTGAAAAAAAAGATGAAGGAAGTATAAAAAGTGATCTGCCAGAGGAGGAATCCAGATATGAAAGTGCTGCCACTGTTGGTTTTTTCTTGTTTTCAAACTTCTATCTAAATTCAGGGATGAAACGTTGCTGCCTTCTAATAAAACACAGCATTGCCGGCATGTGGAAGGTGCAGCAGGCCAGTTGTCTGGGGACAAACAGATATGTGCTGAAATCCCCAGAGGCAATTTCTATTCTAGCAACATATCAGGGAGAAAAAAGCAAAGCAAAACAGCAGCAAAACAGGTGAGAAAAGAGGAAAGAAAAAGACTGGGGCGGGGAGGTGATAAAAGACAAGAGCAGAGGAGAACAAAGAAAGACCAAAGACAAAAGAACAGCTCAGATAAAGAGGGTGAGAGTTCGATCAGTCGAAGAGAGAAGACGCACGGAGGAATCAAAATGTCAGCGGGATGCACACAGCATGAAGTGATGTAAATATCTTACTGTCACTGTGGCTGTCACGTCTACTGCACTCCTACAAACTGGTTTCATCGTGCCAGAGAAGCAGGTAGGAGTATCTGATCCACTCACACAACTTAAATGTCCACATCAATCATGTAAATACAAATGTCTTCTGACAGCTCAGGAGTCTGTTCAGAGGACGTCCTGCTGCTGCTGCGTGAAACCTCACAGTGAGCAATGTATAGATTCTGCAAAGACACGAGCTGTAACGGCTCCTATGAAAGCTCACTGTCACCCAGAAAAAACTAAAAAGCCAAATAATGTCAGACAAACTCCACTTACTGAGTCAAAACTATAATAGATTTAAATTAGGAGATTTGAAGGCTCATGTTACGCTTTTTAGTTCTTTATTGAATCCCACCATCAAAATGAATCAAATAAAAAATGGGCTTGAAATCCTTCATTATCTACTTTTTTTTTTTTTGCTATTACTTGATAACTGGATAATTTTCTGTCAGTTTCATTTTTAATTGTTCACTTTTGGGTTTGTTATCTTTAGCACCAGCGGGAGTCTGCACAGCTGCATTATGCAACCTGAACAAGAAGACTAACTCAGGTTGTGAACGCTACATTAACTTTATTAGCTTGTGCAGAAAATGTGTTTGAGTTGTTCAAGCGGTGACAAATTCTCAACCACTGAATTACTGCACTTCCTATTTAAGGTAAAATGCAGCCGTATTCAAACGACATGACGCAGAGATGATCGGAGAAAGATGGGACAGGCTGTTTCTGGTGCTGACGTGCCAGTTTGGGATGCATCCAGGCATTTAAATATCCACAACGTCACCATTTGTTGTCTCAAACATCGTTTCAAATAGCAGACAGACAATCTGCCACATGAAGCTCTGGATGGACGTGTCCAAGAAATGTTTCTCAAAATGTCTCCATGTTCTCCCCGTGCAGCGTGGGTTCTCTCCGGGTTCTCCAGCTTCCTCCCACACAGTCCAAAAACATGTTGAGGTTAACTGGTGATTCTAAATAGTCTGTAGGTGTGAATGTGAGTGTGCTTGGTTGTCTGTCTCTAAGTGTAGCCCTGTGATAGACTGGTGACCTGTCCAGGGTGTCCCCTGCCTTCACCCTAAGTCAGCTGGGATAGACTCCAGCCCCCCCGTGACCCTAGTGAGGATTCAGTGGTGTATAGATAATGGATGGATGGATGGATCTATAATACAACGATGCTACATTACTGGCTGTAGACTCCTCTAATGGTACGGTCCAACCACTAGCCCAAATAGAAAAATGAGTAATTTTTAATTTTGTTTAAAAATCGAATTCTGAAACAAGTACCTAAAAGCCAACCTTTATAAATTAAACTGATTGAAGTGGATAAAGAAAGTTTAAAACTTATTTTTCACTTGATTGATTTTCATGGTGCGAATAGAACAAAGAATTGCATCACACAGAACTTCTGAGTCCAGCTGTGAATTTCTTTTTTATCTCATACTGACATATTTGAAATTCCACTTATACTTTCTATTTTTATTTTCATCATACCAGGACTGGTGTCACAAAAGATATATTTAAAACACAAACATCAAGTTTTCCCCTTCAGACCATCAACCAGCACGTCTACAAAGAGATCCTGCTGCATTTGCTTCGTTCAGAAGAGGTGAGAGTTGTGGCAGGACAAGTCGTGGCTGCTTCACCATGACAACACACCTGCTCACAATGTCCTGAGCATCCCACAGTTCCTGGCTGAGAAGAACATCGCCGTGCTGGAGCAACGTCCATCAGGAGGTCATCAAGGGGACCTGTTTAGAAGACGTGGACGACATTAAGATGGCTGTGACGACGGAGCTGTGGAGGATCCCAGAAGAATCCTTCCAGGAGTGCATGGTAGCGTGGCAGAGAAGGCTGGGAAAGTGTGTTAGAATCCAGGGGGATTACTTGGAAGGGAAAACTCGTAGTTTGTAGTTTGTATTTGAAATATATCTTTTGTGACACCAGTCATTAAACTTTTCTGACACACTTCATATGTAACTTTTTTCCTGGAAAACAAAAGCTGTGCGACCAGCAGTCTACAGATGGTGGCAAATGAAGGAAAAAGGAATTTTAAAATACATAATTAGGTGACTAAATCCTCATCATCATGCTCATTGTAACACAATATAAACACATAATTGAACCACAAGCTGAACCAAATCAGTACTTGTAAGATTTGACATTTTCTACATTTGCCACTTATGATCTGCATGTATTTAATTTTTATTTTTTATTTTTTAAATACTGTATATCTTGTCATTGTTTTGGGATAAATGAAGCTGCTGTGGAGAAACTAGAAAACTTTACTTTTCTGAGAAGGATTCATTTCTTTTACTTAAATCCAAAACGGTCTGACAACTAGGTACTGAATACGATGTTTGAAAAAACATAGTTTTTCTTCTGGGTAACTTTCTACACTGGATGCAGCTCAGCGGAGAAAAAAAACAAGTGCATTGTGCATGATGTCCATTTGTGGTGGACTGATCCTTTAAATTTCACCTTAAAAGCAGTCTGATTGTATCTGTTATGTCACCAGCCTCATAGAAAGGTGGTACATTTGATTCTAGATATCAAATAACTTGGCAGAAACCTTCAAACCATAACGCACTGCAGTGGGGGTTGTCAACATGTTTCCCTGAGTTAAACTTTCCGTCTCCTGAGCTCCAAGTCCCTCTGCTGAATTAACACAGTGTCATAGGCCGGTGGTGGGGCCAGTTCCTCTAATTTCCCCCGAGAGATCATCCGTCGATCCTATTTAAATCCCACTCCCACGTGTGCCGTGGCAAAGTTTTAGTCACAGGCAGAGACAATTCGCAGCTTTCGTCACCTCTGGAGGGGGGTCAATGAAATTAAAACACCCCGCAGTGCTTAGTCTGACCTCAATCTGTCAGTGTAGCTCGGATAGAGGCAAAGCAAGGAGCCAGATGGAAAGGAAGACACAAAGAGAAAGGGAAGGTTTAGGAGGAGTGAGGGGAGATCTTTGCTGATCCTAGTGGACAGGAGAGCGTGAGGACGGCGAGGGATGAAGGTGAGGTGACAGAGGAGGATCTGAGGATCAGTAGAGATAGAACGAGTGGAGGCACACAGAGAAAGGCCTCTAAAGCGAGAACAAAGGACTGGGATTGAGCTGGACGATAAGAAACCCTTTGTAAGTGCGAGTCTGCTCATGGATGGGAGAGAAAAAAACAGAAGCGCCGGACAGAAATAGCCTCTCGACAGCAAACATTTACCGGAGTGTTTTGCGGTACATGTCTTCCTCGGTGATTCCACAGTAGGTGAGCGTCTCGTTCCACACAGGATTCAGCGTGTTGCGAACAGTCTTGGTTTTCAGCTTGTTGGCCTGCAGAGAGGAAAAGAAAACATTCATATTTCAGCTCTCCACGGCTACATGGTCATTTGGTCTCACAGCTGATTCATTGGTCTCCGCTTGCATTTCCATTACACAGCTCGAAAATAACGCTATGAATAAAGTGTGCACTCCAAAGGCTACTGAAGGCCTCTCTCAATTACAGAAAAACCACAGGGCCAAAGCGGCGCTCTCATAATAAAATCAGACCTTGCAGGCTCCCGGCAGCAGGTGCAGCTTGACATAGGGATCGGCCAAACCGTTGAAATCCATCGGCTTCAGACCCTTATAGAGGAGATATAGATGATATAAGGCATAGAAAGTGAACACCGGAGAAAACTGTAACAAATTCAAACTCTAGCAATGAATTCTGCCAGACAGAGGGGTGAGAAGTTCATTTCAAATTGAATCTAAAGCACAGAGGAGCTGCGGAGGTGCAGGAGTTTTAAATTAACGGCAGCGCACGAGTGAGAAACAGTTTGAAGAGCAAATATTGAGGATGAAATGTCGCATCTATCAGGAAAATGTAATAAATTTAACTGGAGGTTGGGTTTTTTTCTCATGTCAGGTTTGAATGCCATATGAACAGGAGCACAACGGGAGGAATGCATTCTTTAATGTGATGGCGTCACTTTGAGATATGACCATGAAGTTACAAGACAAAAGACACAAGATGCTGCTCTGCTGTGAGTCTGTGACTTTGGTACACTGTGTGCTTTGGTAGAGATGCATGCTAACACGTTCACAATGGAAATGCTAACGTGTATTGATGTTTGGCAGGTACGGTTTGTATATGGACGGTAAAAATGTGTCGCCATCAATAGTGCAAACTGATGCATGTTTTCCATTTCTTTGTCTAAAATGCATCAGTTCATTTTAAGCTGCACTCACAGCTTTACAACATGGTGGCAACAGCAGAGTCCGACTTGGTTCAGTTTAAGTTTCCCAACACCCAAAGCTTCAAAAGTATGAGAGTACTTCAAATTATTACAAAACAAAAAGGTGGCTTGAAGCACCTGAAGAGAAAAGTTCTATTCTTGAAGATGCATTGCTAGAAAAGGCAAACTACCACCATAATTGTTGTTTGTTCATGAGTTTAAAGGTATCTAATATGTGTTGTCCTCAAAGCTGCTAAATACATGTATGAAGCTCAAAACTCATACAAAATGATCATATCACACTAATTTTTCTGAATTAGCATGATAAGTGGGTTTTGTATTACTTCCTCTGGGGAGGACGAATGTCTGTTGAAAGTTTGTTGGCACTCCACCCAGTGTTTGTTGAGATAATTCAGTCAGGATGAAAGTGATGCTGTCTCTATGGAGCCATGAGCCGTTTCCAGAAAAACAACCCAAAGCCTTTTCATTTGGACACACAGATACAGACGGACAGGAACATAAATGAAAACCGTGTCTCAGCTGAATGGATTGTTGACGGGACAAGACAAAGTGTGTGTTGTGGATCTAGTGGACGGTGTTCACCTTTGCTCTGAGGACGGTGCAGTGTAAGGAGCTGGTGGCCCTCTCATACAGCAGGTCGAACTCCAGCGTCCCCAAGGAGGCTGGAAGGAAGTTAATAAAACGTCAAACACCAAAAAAAATGTGTGCCAGTTACTTTGGTAATTGCTTTTGTGCTGATGACTCTGTTACCTCTGAAAGAGATGGAGGATGATGACAGAGAGAAGTACAAGAGGCGAGCAGGAAAAACTGAACACACACTTACAAAAACACACTGTGTTAGTTTGAGAAAAAAATCTCAAATATGCTTATTTGCTTTCTTGCAGAGAGATGTAAGAAGATTGAAACTTTCTTAAATTTGTCTGGTACATGCGTGGCTACAACTAGCAGCTAGTTAGCTTAGCATAAGACTGGAAACTATTGTCCAAAGGTTAAAAATCAGCCCCTCTGAAACTCACTAATTAGCCTGTTTTATTCATTTATATTTACTGATTGTAACGTACCATGTAGTGACTTTATCTAACAAAGGAACTGTCTGGTACATAACCACTAGGGCGACCAAACCTCCTGTTTTCCAAGGACATGTCCTTTTTGCACGTCCTGTCCTGGTTGGTTTTTTTATAAAGTGATGAAAATGTCCTGGAGGAGGTATACTTTAAATGTACTGAAATTATAAGACATCTTTGATTAAATTTCGACTATCATTTGAGTATCCTGGTTTTCGCTAATCAAAGATGGCTACCATAGAAACCACTAGCAAGCTCTTGTTTTGACACTGTAGTTTTCCAACATTTTTAGCAAACAAGAGATAACTTTTTAGTCAGTGAAAAGGAGCCGGGAGGTGGGTTTTGCAAACCAAGCCAGGCTAGCAGTGTCCCTTTCTTTATTGTCTTTATGCTAAGCTAAGCTAAGTGTCTCCTGTAGCGTCATGCTCGGCCAACGCTACACTTTTATACCTTCTAATGTAACACTTGGCAAGTAAAAAAATGCATGTAATTCCCAAAATCCCAAACTATTCCCTGACATGGTTCTCCCTTTAGAGATAGCATAGCATATGCTACAGCGGCTAACATCAGCTAGCAGCAATTGATAGTAAACATTTTGCTTTTGTTTACCTCTGTGTAAGATTACAGACCCACTGTTTAAAAATTTAAATCTGTTCACTGTAACCACTGTAAACACGAGTGCTTGTCCTCCAGGTGTGACTTTATTTTTAAACCTTGGTGGAAACCTGCTCATAACGTTCAGGTGACTCACTGTTGTCATCGCTGTCACAGCTGTCGATCTCGATGGAGGTGTCCATGCTGCTCATGGCTGACAGCGAGCCCCCTCCGCCCGCGGCGCCCGGCAACAGCGGTGACAACAGGCCGCTGCTTCCTCCCCCTCCTCCTCCTCCTCCTCCTTCACCTCCGACAGCACCTCCACCTTGACCCGCGCCGCCGGGGCTGAGCGTGGTGGGAGCTGCCACCTGATTGGGCGAGAGCGGCTCCGAGAAGGAGGAAGTGGGCGAGAGGCGAGGGAAGTAGGCAGAGATCTGACGAATGGGGCGGATGGGGCCCGGGCAGACGTCGATGGCCATGTGCTCCTGGATGGAGATGCCCAAACGTTTTCCTTTTCGCACAGTCATGGGGCTACGAGGGAAGAGATTTGTCTCGTTAATTACGTTCATTTTCAGCACGGTAACAGTTTAAACTTTCAGATGCATTAGCCGAAGCAAGAGGGAAGACGCTGATCCATGGAGCTGTCAATTACGTTTCTGTAACACCAAGTTGACGAAGGTGAGCTCAGTGAGGTGGTTTGTGATGAATAACATCTTTCCCTGCATCTGTCTCTGAGATTCTCATTTGCCATTTAGTCACGAAAAACCACCCTCGGAAAACTCCTTCAACGTAATTAGAACTGTTTTAAAAAGACAGACATTACTCATGCGGTGACAAAATACAGCAGAGGATGTGCATACATTTGCATCTCAATCGAATAAATCTGAATAAACCCTAGGCTATCAGGAAAGATAAAGAATAAAAGACAATAGGGTTCTCCCTCAAATCCTAATCATCCTCGAGGAAATCTCGGAGCGTGCGAGCGGCTGAGGCACACGTGTTATCCCAAATACTCCACAATCCTCCACAGATATGTAATTACAGAACGAATCTCGACAGGTTTGAAACACCCTTTGATTCACTCAGATGGAGAAAAGAGTTGCAATGACAGTGTTGAAAGAAGTATTCAGATCCTTAAGTGAAAGTACCAATACAGTAAAAACACTGTATGTATAAAGCATTAAAGTAAAAGAAGTGATTTGGTAGAAAGACGGAAGCATCAGTGTGTCAGCAGCATGTTGGAGCTTCTATATAAAACAGTTTTAAATACAAATACAGCAAATAAATCTGAGGGATTGTCGCTTGATTAATGGGAGAGAAAAGAATGAAGAAGTCCTGAGCCATAAATCAATTTCAGTGTTTGGACTTTTTCCTCTCATCTTTGATTTTTTGGTGAGATATCAGCTCATTTGAACACTTATTGAAATGAAACCATGTGAGAAGTTTCAAGGAAAAAATACACACAACACAACACAACACAACAACTCAGACACCTTAAACGTGTCCCGACTACACAATGCCAACAATCTTCAAAACCGCTGGCTTCATCTTTCACTGTGTGTTGTATTAAAAATGCTTGTTGTTATCCAATCTGTAAAATCTGCATCTTAAAAGTAACTCAAGCTGTCACATAAATGGAGTACAGATACTTTACAGTTGTGCTTGAGTGCAGTAACCGAGTAAATGTACTTAGTTACTTTGCACCGCTGCCTCACGATTATATAAAACTGTGGTTGCAGGGAGCAGAGTTGACCAAAAGGCTGATGTGTCTGCTGTTTTCCCAAAATAAGAAAAGAGGGGGGTGGATTACAAATATCTCATAGCTTTTGTTTTCTAAAGACGGCAGAGCTTGAGGGGGCGTTCTGTCCTCAATACCGAGCAAATCCCCCCCCGGACTACCTCCTGCTCTCTCTGCAATAATCGATTGAAACTGAGAAGTTTATGTTTGCTCTGTGAATATCTGGACTTCCTCTGCGCTGTCTGTGAGTTGAGCTCTGGGAGGTGTGGAAATATCAAAATAATGAGAGCTGAGACAGGGAGGTTTAAGGGAGAAGTGGCCATGCTGACTACATTCTGATAGATGATGGGTCTGAAGTTAAAACCCCACAAACAGAAGCAGCAGAAGATCAGAGATGACTATCTTTTTAGTGATCGTTCTACAGTCATTAGAGAAGTTGCCGATGTCAAACCTGCATCTATATTAAGGCTGTCGCTGAGCTGTTATACACAGGATTGCAGAAACCAGAAAGAGTAAACTGGATTTTGAAAGCATGTAATGGAAGAAATCCGTCCCTCCAGGTCTCCCTCCAAAGCCACTCTTCCAAAACACTTGAACAAGCAGTGTCTGAGTACAGCTGGAGGACTAATCCAAACGTGTTGGTGGGGAGAGGAGCACAATAAAACTTCCTCATGTCCAAAAACACACCAGTCTGCTACGTCGCCACATTTTCAGAACATACTGTTCAAAGCCGACGTAAGACCATGAAACAACACTCCCGACATGAAACTGGAGGATGACGAGACCACAAAGAGAACTGAGAGATACAAAAATACAAATGAACATCTGGCACGTCTGGCAGCGCAGGATGTCGTAGGTTTTAGGTGGAACTGTAAAATGTGGCGGCGCTTTGGCATTCTTGTGCTATGTGCGAGTGCAAGCAGGCAGGTAGAGCATCCAGTTATCTCCCACTGAATGAAATGACTGAACAGGCTTTTCTACGGGCCTTGACTGCTGCAGATAACAGATTTTTTTTTTTTCCTTTTTATTGTCAGAGCATTACATTTACTGGAAGTCAAATTATGTGAACATGTCATGCACCATTGGCACAATATCACCTGAACTGTGTTAAATTGACAATCCTTCAACCTGAATATCATTCTGTGAGCGAGGAAGAAGTCATGGGGAACCCATTCTGGAGAGCAGGGCAGGTAGGAACCAGTGATTGTGTTGTGGACAAAACATCCACATGTAATTCACTGGGTTGTGCCCCGGCGCACAGTGTAATGAGAGAACTCATGTTCCATCGCACCATCATTGTGCTGAATGTTCTCCCTCAGACGTCTCAGGATGTTACAGTAGAGCTTCGCCTCGACAGTCCAAGCTGGAGGAATTCATTCCCGTTGCACAATCACGTGAATGTCAAACAAAAACCTGCTCCTTGTGTACTGATGGCCTGACATGAGTTGTCCTGTTGTAGAAACTGAGGGCTCTTTCTCCTCAGGGTGGTAGCTGCAAACTCACCTATTGATTCTCATTATGGAGGTCGCTCATCTCTGGCTGCTGACTGAGACAATGTGATGTTTACTTTCTGCTCAACTTCAAGTTAAATGAAGAAATTGCAAAAACAAACTTGTGCAACACGGGTCCCACCGTTGACAACACAGAGTCTCGCTGACTACTGACTCCTGACAGTTACTGCTGGCACATGCTGCACATGTGTGCGTTTAAACCACAAACAGTCCCAGAACTTATTGATCACACCAACTACAACAAAACAAAAAGCCTCTGGAACAAATAGCACACTCTAACTTTAAACATACAATGCTTTGCAGTCTCAGTCTAATCCACTCTATGCAACACAGGATATGTGAGCGAAGCTGCGTGTGAGTATTAAGCCTTGGTAAAGGATTTGGATGGAGCGAAGAGCAAATTGTTTAAAACTCCAGAATGTTACGTTCTGTCCCACACCATGTTGCTCCAGTTTTGCTCTGGTGCTGCTCACATCTCAGTGTCAAAGCACAACCAAACCAGAATTCATAGAGACATTAACCATAAGCTTGGGTTAAGTTGGGTTATTTTTAGATTAAATTAAACGTTTAAAGTAATCTGGGAAGGAACCAGACAAATCCACCAACCTTCGGTTCCATTTGGTTAAAGGTAACGCTAAAATGAAATACAGTGCATGTGCAACTTTTTTCTTCTCTTGGAGCAAGTCAATCATAGAAAAACCTCCAAAGCTCACTAACTAACCAGGTTTCAGCACCAAGGAATAGTCCTGAACATGAATCCCGATCAATCAAGTCATTTTTACACTCAAGTTTTTGTACAGAATAAACAAATGAGATGCAGCGTGTGGTAATAGGAGGATTCTATTACCTCAGGACAGATGTTTCCGTTCTTTGCTGCTACACTAAGCTAACCAGCTGCAGGCTGTAGCTTGACATTTACACGTTGGAGTGGCATCAATCCTCTCATCTTATTCTTTTCAGGAAAGTGTATTTCTCAGAACGTTGAGCTGTTCCTTTATCATGCAGGGGTTAGATCATCCACGCCTCCAATTACTGTGGTGTTATTTTCCCTTTGCTTCTGTTTGTAAGGTCACAACCAGTAAACAGATTAATTTCAGAGCCTTCACTCATCAGGATAAAGTCAATATGACCAATGTGCCCTGGCAGAAAGTGGCTGTGAAATTGTTGTCTCTGACTGTTGACCTTCAGCAGAATTACGGCCAGCGAGGGTCATTTGTCATGTATGGCCAAGTCTCTCTGCTGTGAGCACAACGGTGCTTTTCCTTGGCTGCAGATGAAACAAACTTCTGAAACACGCTGCACGGTGCCAGTTTACAAACTTCCTTGACTCCTTTGACTGAAAGGACTTTGACAGACCTCTGGCTCTGGAAAAGGACATGATGGACACCATGCCTTTTGAGGAGCAGCCATTTTGGTGCCATTGAGTAGCCCAGCAGCACAATTAATGACTTTGGAGACGCTGAGCAACACGTTGCCACTCAGTTCTGCTCTGCAGAGAAACCCTCAGACGTTTGCTGGTTTTCTAATCTGAGGTGAAATAATGTGGAGAGAAGATAAATCATTTCTTGCCACAGATGCAGTAAATCATTTCAGTTTGACAGAACAACAAAATCACAGTGAAGCCGTCCACCAGTGGAAATATGTGGGAAAATAAGTGGGAGATTGCAAGACATTAAGCTGAAGGTGAAAATAAGTTAATGAAGCTCTCTGTGATGATGATGAGTATGGCTAGAATTGATTGAGATTAATTAACGTGGATGAGTTGGTAATGATTGTCCTCATGAGAAAAATACAATCCCTCAAAGAACACGCACACAGCTGTAACAATACGTTCACGCCGCGCCGCCAAGCAAGCATGCACATACACTTGTGTCAGATCATTAATTTATCTCTCTCTCTACACACACACACACACACACACACACACACACACTATGCAGCTTCTGAGCGGGTGTCTGTTGATATAATGTGCGCAGTCAGTCGCCTCCCAGTTCTGGCAGATGTGGCCGTAAGCTGGAGCAGCCTGAGCACCAGCACCAGCACCAGCAGCAGCAGCAGCAGCAGCAGCAGCACACGTACGACCGGGAGGCCTGGTGGCTCGCAGCTCTCTGGGAAGCAGAAGCTCACAGGGAGCTCATGATTGATCGCTCTCATGCTGCCAGCTGGAATCTCTCTCATCTTCTCTTTTCATCATCATCTTGTTGCTGAGAAGTGTGTCAGCGGCGCACAATAACAAGGTGCAGATTTCACCCTCACACTTTGCAGGGTTTCACGCGCTACAGCTCGTTTACATTCATGACTTTCGGCCCTCAAGCACATTGTTGAGCTACTTTACATAATTCCTATAAGCTACAAGATAATGGCCCAACTTGTCTCCTGCAGCTACAAACAGCATCCCCGAAGCTGTTCGTTATGCAACCGCATGCGGAAGGGTATATCATACACGGCCCTCTTGCGCTTCTATTTGTGCGCTCGCATAGGTTTTCCAGCTTCAAGGGAGAGGCATGAAGCTGCCAGAATCCAGCTGTCAGGAATATCTTTGTGCAACATGCGACCACCCCTCCCCTCCTCCTCTTTTAGCTCCTTCACTTTAAATTACAGTCATATCACAGGCGCCGCTTCCTCAACCTGTACCTTCTCATCTCCACCCTCACCCCTCCTCTCACCTCTTCATCTCTCTCATTAACTCCATGTTAGGCTTTTTTTTTTTCTTCCCCCAGACACCTTTATTCCACCTGTAGGTGTGTGAGGATTTCTTTCTCTCTCGGCTGCTTTTTCTGCTTCCCCCCTCTTGTGTCCTACATACAATGGGGCCCCTGCGGCGGGCTCCGTTCACCTTTAAATAACAAGCTGCTCGGCTGACAGGCAGATGGTATAGTACCAGTGCCACACAATGCAGTGACTCATTAGAGCTTGATAGTCAGCATCATTTACAGCTGACCACAGTGACAGTGAGCGCTTGTCAATTAGAGCCAAGTTATCTTCAGGCAGCCAGGAGGTGAGTAAACTTCAGTCTGTGTGTGTGTCTGCTCCAAGGTGTGAAAAGCAAGTGAAAGAGCAGGTAATAAGATCCTAAAACAGACACATGCCACATGTTGCACCTGCCCGCTGTGGGAGGCTGACGCAGAATTACTGTGACAGCCTCTCAGTCTGGTTGATAATGCATCAGTTTTTACTCTCTACTGTACAGTTTGTAAGAAAAAAACATATACGTGAAGCAAAACTGACAGGATGCAGTTCTGAAGAAGTGTGAAACATAAAGGTGTGTTTCACGCAAGAGGGGAAATTAAGAGAGAATCAACATCCTCAGGCAGATTCAAGCCGTCTGCAGTTCAGAATAAATGAATAGAAAACGTGGACTTACCTCAGCGATAGCGCAAGTGTGAAACTCTTCATAAAAAACGAGGAGATCCCAGTGCGGAGAGGAGAGGGAGACTAACAGGTGGCGAAGAGGGGAGCAGAGAGTACAGGGAGAGAGGAGGGAGAGAGAAGCTGAGCGAGCTCTACGTGGATCATTAAAAATTAAATGCACGGATAGTTCAAGTTGAGATGAAAACAAGCGGCAGAGGGGAGAGGGGAAAGCGACATACTGGAGGAGGAGGAGGAGGAGGATAGAAGAGGAGGAGGAGGAGGATGGAGGGAGTCGAGGAACAGAGAAGAGAGAGAGAGAGAGAGGCAGTGGGGAGTTATTCCTTGACAGTGTGTTGTTCATGTGACTGTTTCTCCCTCCTGCATCCCCCCACCATCACCACACTCACGTACACACTGTGGGCTTTTTTTTTTTTTCTATTAGCAGGACTTGCATTCATTCCCTCAAGAGTTAAACTAACCTTTAAGAACAAGGCTGATTATATTCCTCTCAATGTCAGAAGATCCCATACGATGAGGAAAACCAGCCAGCGGATTTACCCGACAAGCACACGCCCAGATGGATTCCAATATTCACACTGATGAAATTGTCTCGGCTGCAAATAAAAGCAGCAGTTAATTAGGTTATTTAAATGATTAGACGAGCTGTGGAGATATGCTGGAACAAGGCGTGAACGTTGCCAAGTAAATGTGAAATCAGACCTCAATACGGTGAAAAAAACACACAAACAGTCGGTTTTACGCTATTCTCGGTGCAGGAATGTGCCGGGAGAAGGGCAAAGTCATGTCTGGAGCTTTCCCAAGTTTTGTCGTCACATTGGGGTCAGTAAGTCTGGTGGCATCGAGTCTGAGCAGAGACCAAAGCTAAATCCGGTTCTCGCCAACCATATCCGGCAATTTAACTGTAGCTGAATTTGGAAAAAGGTGCCAAGAGGATGGATTAAGTGTTGCTTCTCAACAAATGGTTCCAGCCTCCCTGTACAGCAGAACATCTCTGTGAACATGTTGGACAAACACAGATTTACTTATTTAGTCTGTACAACGCCGGGCTAGTCAACCTCGCCCCGCTAAGTTAGGCGAACTTGAGTGGTATCAGCATTTTAAAGGTTCCTGTAGGTGGGCCAGAGTGAGTAATTATTTCCCCATAATGTTAGTGACGGTCTATTCAGACTCACTTATATGTACACTTAGGGTGTAAGTCGACCATTGGACACACATGCCCAGTGATTTTCTTCTTCCATTCCGCTATACGTGTTACCATTTTCAAAATCTCCTTGACTACGGTAAACAACAGCACAAACCTCCAGGCAGCAACCTTCCACAATGATAATTTCAAGATTTAGATCATGCGATAAGGCAGCCCTGCCAGTTTCCTTCTTTTTCCTGGTGAATTTTACGGCGGCCGACGGGGGAAAACGACGTGCATATACACAAACCAGTTGCAAATACATGCGTTGCATAAACAGAAACGTGCTGCATATATTTTCCCTCAATTAACGTTACTTATCTCACACACCATTGTCTGCCTCTCAGGTGAAAAGCTCACTACTGCCCCTGGAGGCCTGTGGCACTTCCGTTGTGTGACTGTATATGCAGCGTTTCTGTTTATGCAACTCATTAATGCAGCTCGTTTGTGTAAATGCACGTCATTCGCCCCCGAATTTGTTATTTTAATGGTAGCACTTTCCTTCCTGTGTGCAAATGTTCCACCAACACAACTAGTCAGTCACTATTTTAAAGGAAACGCCAACGTCTCATCCTTGGCTTAGCGCCGCAAAATACGACTGTGATTGGTCCCCCGATAGCAGAATGAGAATAAAGTGGCTGAGTGAGATAATGTCCCCATAATGTTGGCGATAGTCAGGTACATTTGTATAATATATAACATTAAAAGGCCTTAACCTTAATATGTAAATCTGTCTGGTGAATGTATAACATAGAGAGCATCTTACTTCTAAAGCATTTCGGGTCAACATCTGGTGTTTTAAATGTGCCGTATGAATAATGGGGACCATAAGAACACATACAAACAGTGTTGCGGGCGGAATCTAATTAAATCTCTCCATCTTTCTGTCCATGCTAGTTGCAAACCAACACACTGCAGATCTCACTGTCTCTCACAAACACATTGTCTCTTCGGTCTCACTTCCTCCATATAATTAAGCTAATAGTTCTTGAGTCAGTGATCGACAAGGGGAAACATGCTATTTCCCCCTCGTGCCTCTTCAAGACCCCAAATTGGTGTTCTCTCTGTCTCCATCTGACTTGCCCCTCGTGTTTTTTGTTGTTTTGTTTTTTTTCTGCGTCTTTTCTTCATTTTTGGAGTCCTCACTCTGAAACGTCGTTCCGTCAGAAAGTGAGCCAAGAAGCTGTCACACAGCGCAGGCTGTTGCTGAATAGACTGACTGCTGCTTTTTTTGTCTTATCTTCAAAAACTGCTTGATGCCTTTGTTCAGTGGTGTTCCTCGTGTCTCCCTCCTTTCTTATCGCATCCCTCCTCTCAAGTTGCCTCTTTCTGTCGCACACTCACACACACACACACACACACACACACACACACACACACACACACACACACACACACACACA